TTCAGCGTGGCAAAATGGAGAGACCACTATACTCCAAGCTGGGAGGTGTGTGTTCTTAGGAAGCTCCTCGTGACCTGCCTCTGCCAGAAAAGCCTCCGTACCCACTTGGGCACATATCGTGAGTTAACCTCAACGATATCAACACTCTCCTTCATCCTGCGCAGCAGACAAAAGGAAATCTTAGTGTAGCAAAAGGTGGAAAGAGCATCCGCCAAAATACCAGGTAATTTCAGTGCCCTTGTTTTCCTCTGCCAGAGGCATTCACAGATCAATCAGAATCAGCCTGCTGTGCCAACCAAGAATCTAGTTAGCACCAAATCTGCCTTGCTTAGGGTTTAGGGAATCCAACAAGTATATGCAGAGCTGAACTAAAAGGATGCGGAGCGGGACGCCTGGGTGGCTCAGTCCATGAAGCGTCTGCCTTCGGCTCAGGTCATGATCCCAGCGCCCTGGGATCGAGTCCTGCGTTGGGCTCCCTGCTCAGTGAAGAGCCTGCTTCTTTCTCTACCTGTGCCTGCCACTCTGCCTACGGTGTTCTCTCTCTCTCTGACAAATAAATAAATAAAAATCTTTTAAAAAAATAAAAATAAAAAAGGATGGGGAGAATAATGCTTAACTCTGAACACCAGAGTTTTGACTTCCCCAAACAGAGGGAAAACGAATGCTGCCACTATTCAGAGAGCCAATCAGCACAACGTAAGGCAAAGACTGAAGTCCAACCGGCTTGTGTTTGCAACTAGGGGCTGCAACTTACCAGCTGTGCAATCTTGAGCCATTACCTGATGCCTCCGAATGCCGAAAAATGGGGACAATGACGTTTACCTCTGTAACATGACTGTTAAAATGACACAACGAGAATTGATTCATCTATTCATTCATTCAACACATATTTAAAAGCTCCTAGGATGCGCCAGACACTATCTTCAACGGTGGGGATAAAGCACTAACAGGACAGATGATATAATATACGAAAGGTGCTTAGGACAGTGCCATCAACTTAGAACACACTCTATGAAAACTCATTTCCAAGGAAAAACAACCTGCTTCCTTTGTCCCACAGAAACCACACACACCACCACCACCACCATGCCCACGTGACTCAGCTAAGATTTGGGGTATGCAATTAGGACACTGGCTCTGATGCCCCGTAACAAAAGCAGTCCCAACGCCCTGCTCAATGAAGGAAGTGCAGACGGTGACGGGGAATGAAAGGCAGGTATTAATAGTTGCAAGGAGAATTCTGATGGTGTTTGATACATAGGAGTCTGAGGAAAATGACACAGAATTCATACCATAAAATGTCCAACCAACTCAGAGATAAGTTTAAATGAAGAAAACCAGCCCTTCAAGAGAAATGTGTGACAAAATGTTTGTCAGTCTCTAGATCCTACTGAGTGAAGTGAAGAAAGATTAAGATCAGATCATGAGTGGGGTGTGATGTGAGTGGCTGTGTTGAGATAATCACCGATAGGCCTTCTGTCACAGGCACACTGCGAAGGCTGACATCAGTGACGGAGCTTGAACCAAGAACTTTGGGGGCTGTTAATGGCACACTCACACATTCTTGTCCTCACAGATTTCTCCCCCAGTTCCTCTTCATTTCCTGTTACTCAACTGCTCCCTCTTCTTCCTCTTTTGCACCTGCCTTAACTTGGTCACTGCTGTGGCCAGGAGAGATAAGTGTTTCCTAATCAGCCTACCTGTCTTCCTCCACTGAGGTGGGTTTCATGCCTTTCCTGCCTTCCCTGTCAGCCAGCAGGCTGGGGACTGCTGTTTTCCTCAGACCTCAGATGCTGCCCCTCCTTCCTGTGCCCTTGGCCCTGGGGGATGGCTGCCCTGGATTAGAATTGGAAAATGCCACTAGAAGGTACATCCAAGCGCTTGATATTGGAATTATCTGGGTAAAGAAGAGAAAGGGTCACATTTGGAGTAATGTGGTTTGTAAAAGTGAAGACAGCCTCTCTCTCTGCCTACCTGCAGAACTGAATGTGGGGACTCATCCCAAAGGGACTTTTACCTACATCTGAATGCTAGTCCCTTCCATATCTGCCCGTGAAGTAGAAAGCTGCAAATGTTTTCTTTGGGCTCCCTTGAACTTGAACTATGGTAGGGATATTCAAATCCACCTATTTTGTCACTCCAATCCCTCTCCAGACACCCTCAGGCATACTTACATAAACAAATATGCCTCTTTCTTTTGTAGGAAGACCAAGCATCTGTTGGGAATTTTGGGCCCCAGGGCTCTCCCTCACTCCCACCCCACTTCATTCATAGAGGGTTTTTTTTTTTTTTTTTTCAAAATTTGTTTTTTTTTTTTTTTTCAGTGGTCCAAGATTCATTGTTTATGCACCACATTCATAGAGTTTTAAAACAGTAAGCTGACTTGGCTGGAATTTCCACACCTTTACTTTCCAGCTTTAATCGACCTAATTGTTTAGCCTAGTAAAAAATACAGAACCAAAAGACTTTGCATATCTATGAACTGCCTCAACTGGAACACATTACTAATAATAGTAATAGCAATAAAAATTCTTCTGGCATTAACATATTACTTCTTGAGACCTTAGGCACCAAATCCTGCAAAGCTGCGACACTGTCAGCCCAAAATTCTTCCATGTGACAAATCTCTGAAGTCCACTTTCTAAATTGTAACCCAATACATTTCCCAACGTGAAACTGTCTTCTGGCCAAATCAACCAGTTTACCTCTATGATTATCAGTTCCTTGTTATTATCGTCCAAGTAAGACAAGCACACATGCCTAACTGCAGCTTCTAAAGTGTACTGTTATCATTATTTGCTTATCAGTAAAAATGTAATCTCCCTGCCATATGCTTTCCAATACAATGTATACACATGCAGACTGCCCACAGAACAGAATGCAGGGCCTTTCAGGGCCTTTGCCAAAGGATGCCAGGCTGAGCATCAAGGGGAGTTTACGAGCTGCCTCACTTCCAGAGTCCTCTTAAATGCAGTAAGCCAGAAGAGCCGGGAGTGAGGTCAGGTTCTGGTTACCCAAGGATATGGCCATTTGGACTTCCCTGGTCCAGCAGGAGAAAGGCTGCCCGCTGTGGCTGGGCTCTGGCCTGAGGCATGCCCAAAGTAGCGGCCTGGGTGCCCCAGCCTCCTGCCCCTTAACGCTGAGCAAACACAGCTGGAGCCAGAACTCCCTGGTCTTTTCCCCAGAGACTCCTCACCCTCACTCCACCCCACCCCCCAAATCAAGTTTTTCCCAAGCCATTCCTGTCACCCCATGGTTCCCCTCTCCAGTCTGCATGGCTCCCCTCTCCTCCAGCCCTGACCTTTGCGTGGCCCTGGCGGCGGCCAGGGCTGCACGTTGCCCCCACTTCGGAGCAGGGGCAGCATGCCAGAGCACGGGCCGGTGTGGGGTAGAGCGCGGGGACCTGTGCTTGTGCTGCTGGCTGCGCGTACTAGGGGATGGTCAAACCGCACGCCGGGCTGCTACATACCCACTGCCACCCAGCACTAGGAAAAAGAGCAAGAAACGCAAAAACAAACCAGAGAGAGAGGAAAGGGAGATAGAAAGTCAGTGTGTGGAATTCTGAAGCTCAAGGACTGCGAGGCGCCGGCTCCGGCTGGGCTTGCAGCGCCTGGCAGGCAGACTCAGAACCCTCCTGTGACTGAGGCCACAGACATCCCATGGCCGTGAACTGACATAAGGACACAGGAGGGCGGTTTGGGTGAGCTATCAGCAGGCAGCTCTGCTTGCCTTAGGCAGTTACCTCTATTTCTCTGCTCTTGTCCTGCTTCTCTGCACCAAAGACTCCCACAGATATTTCCATTCGGGCAACAGACTTGGTCTCCTGGCCTAGGGCTGGTGGCTCCATGGACCCTAGCATGGACGATTCTGTGGCTCAAAGCAGCCTTGAGGGCAGCGACGGGAAGGAGGGCAGAGAAAGGGATGGGGATCCTGGAGGAGGACTGAGGCAGTGGGAGTGTGCTGCTCTCTGGGTCAGTAATTCAGGGGAAACTTCCCTTCTTGAAAGCTCTCCCAGGGAACCTCCTCCACCCTGCGAGGGGCCCAGGGGCACGGGGCAGAGCGTACAGGTGGGATTTCTGTGCGATCCACCCTGCAAGGACCTGGACCGCACCTCCTGGGTTCCGTGAGCTACAAGTTAGCTGCGATCACCCAGGTCCGCAGGTGCGGATGACGAGGGGCACTGTGGGTGCAGCGGCCCCTAACTGCGACCCCGTGACCCACCTGCGTGGCCCAGGGCCCACCGTGAGGTGGGGGTCGGGGAAACCCTGGCATGATCCCGGATCTCGCGGGCTTTGGGCTGGGACAGTATCCCCAAGCCCCGGCGGACTGCTGACTTGGTGTGCGGGACCGAAGTGGGATGCGGTTGCAAGAGGCTTCCCCCTTCTTCTGTTCTGGGATCTTTTTCTCATTCTTATAACATCTCCCCTACCCCCCCGCCCCGCCGCTCCTTGATCCAGGTCCTCCGACCGCAGCACCTAGCCTCCTCCAACGGACCCAGCGCCGGCCCCCAAGGAACTGCTCAGAAGGCGGAGCCAGGGGACCGTGAGGGGCCGGGGCGAGCCGGGCCTCCACCCCAAACGCTCGGGAGAAGTGGCCAGACCCCCAAGCAGGAAGGAGCGTGAGGGACAGGAAAGGGCAAAGCTCTCCTTGTTTCTCTCCTGACAGCATCTTGGGGAGGGGGCTAGCACGCTAGAAGGGGAGCGAGGACCCGCAGGCGCCGCTCGCAGGCTGCCTCCGCCACATTCCGCCGGACTCAGTGACCCGCGGAATCGCGCCCCCGCCTCGCGCTTTGCCTCGTTTGCCCCCTCCTTCCAAACCCGCCATCACTTGCCTTCAGCCCTCCAAGCCCCAGCAGTCAAAGTTTCCGTCTGAGAATCTGCACTTGTGGAGGGCTATCTCCCAATTTCCCAGTCCCCGACCCCTTCACGCCGGCTTCTGGGGACTGGGAGGGACCCTGCCGTGCCAGGGTCGCTGAGAACTGGGCAGCGCGGCGCCCTTACCTGCGGCCGGTGTAGCTCCAGCTGCCTCCCGGGACTGCGATTTCCTTGGTGAAGGCTGGCAGGAACGAAGAGCCCTTCGCAGGTTCGGGGCTGACTGGCCCCGGGAACGGGCTGCGCACCGCTCAGAGTCCGAAGCCAGCTGCCAGCTCCTTTTCTCCCTTGATCTTGCAAGAAAAAAGGCAAAGATTAGTTGGTGCCGCGACACCCGGAGGGGTGGGGCGGGGAGGCGGGGTGAGAGCGGACCCAAAGGATCGGACGAGAGCTGCGGGGCTCGGGCGCGCGCGGGCAGAGTCGCGCACCCCACACGGGTCCCGGTCACTTGGCGTGTCTGGAACCCCTTCGCGGTTTGGGCTGGAGTTAAACTGACGCTGCCCCCGCCCTCCACACCAAACCACCACAGGCAAGGCAGAAAGGACTTTCAAACCTGGCTTTGAGGAAGAAGGCGAGTCTGGAGAGCATAACAGAACCAAGACCTGGATGCACCCGCGGGCTGGGCGGGATTCATTTCTTCACCAAAGTGCTTGGGGAAGTAGTAATTAGTGTGGGGGCAACACCTACTTCAGTGCCTCCGGCGATGTCCTAGTGGGATCTGCGGTTTCAAGGCTCTTAGCCAACCCGCAGGCTGGCGTGTGTGTGTGTGTGTGTGTGTGTGCGCGCGCGCGCGTGTGTCTGTTAGTGTGTGTGTGCGCGCACGGTGGCTCGCTCCCTGGAGCGGGTCTCTGCGCCCCGGCGCCTTTGGTATAGCAGAAGACCGTGTCTGTTCCTGCGTGAGTGTTCCATTAGCTGCAATGGGCGGACAATTTCTGGAGAGAACATTTACAATTTTCTTCCAATATGACAGGATTAGTTGCTGTTGAAGGGGCTCCTCCAATGAAATCTCCTCTGCTCTCTGATTTGGCGGTTCTTCTGAGCAAATATGACAGCCTTTTCTCCAGGCTCCTTTCCGCTTCTCCACGTCCATCCCGAGAGCCCAGCTCTCCATCTGCAATTTCTACACCAGAACCTTTACAATTACCACCACCACCCAGTCCCATTCCTGCAAGTACATGATTGCTATAGAGGTGACATGACACATTGGGAAGAACACAGTGTTGCTTCTAAGTTGCCGAAGATGCTTAAGCTCAATTTTTTCCAGGTGGGAAAATGTTAGAATAAATCCACTGTGCTTTGTAAACATGTAATCATGCTGAACTATTTACAGATTGTTTATTTCTTTTGGATATTGGCAAACGTGTTACAGAGAGAGGTAAATTTTTTTTTCTTCTAATTTTAAGCATGGTCTAGTGTCCATGTTTTCTTCAACTAGTAGGCATTACATTACAAAGTAACTTCATGGAATTGGGGGTCTCCATGAAAATAATTAAGATGCAAACTTCTTGTGTTACAACAGCCTTAGGTTTTAAGTCTTCATAGAAATTCCTTCCAAGAAGACTACTTAACTATTTTTAGATACTAAAACCATTTGATAAAGGCACAATGTTATGATTCTAAAGCACAGCTGAGAACAAGACTTCCTTTTGCGAAAAGTAAATGTGTATATGAAGATAACATGGATTTTTACTTTTCACAATCAAATGAAAAACAATGAAACCTTAAATTGAATAACACAGAATTAGATACATCACCTCTTGTATCACAAAGACAAAGAACAAGTTGGTTTAATATATCCGATACAATTCAGTTGAATTCTTGATGCCCAGGTTTTGCTAGGTGTCAAAGAGCATATGGAATAGCAAAAGTTAGTATCCCTTTTCTTTGCAAGTTTCCAGTCTTATTAGTTAGGAAAGACACTCCTATGAGACACCCATGTAGCAGCTGACAATCAACGTGATAGATTATACAGCAATACAAATTCACTGAGAAAGGGAAATCCTATACTGAAAAGTACCTTCAGCTTCCAAATCCCTACATCCTGCCATCACCAAAAGATTCTAAGATATTTGTTAGAAAATCAAGACAGCTTTGTCCAATCTTGGTCCTACCCCGCCCCCCCTAAGCATTTGGTCCATGACATTAACAATCTGAGGTAGTCACTTCCTCTCCTTTAGGGGCTGTTTAAAAAATGAATTCACATTCTCCTTCCTTACTCCATTTCTTTTAAACCCTAAAAACCCAAGGAGTTGCTTAAGTCTTTTTGAACCACCTACCAGTACAACCTCCCCCCCCAACACAAACACAAGTGAAAGCAGAAATGTAAAGCGGAATGGATCCCTGACCAGTGATGGGGAAGAAAACTCAGCGATCTTTTACTAATTTATTCTTTCGTATCATTAATGCCTTCTTGTATAAATAAGACTACACATTCCAAAAAAAGCGGTACAAGCAAAAAGCCAATGAAAGCTAACAAATAGTTTCTTAAACTTGAATAAAACAGTCTGTGAATAATTGAACTACTGTGTTCAAAGGAAGTCACTATACTCATGGCCTTTTGGAAACGAGCTTCAAATGAAAGCAGCATTTTTGCCAAACAATCAGCAATGATGTCCATTTTCTTCCTCTAGATCATCACTGGAGACACTTTGTTTATGTATATTTATAGTTGTGCCACTCACTGTGAGATTTTGGAAAAATTATTTAATTGCCTGTAAAAGGGAGATAATGATATGGTATCTCCTGGGGTTGTTTTAACGAATAGAATTAATTCATGTAAAATTTTCAGCCTGTTATATAGCAAATGAGCTATAACTGTGACTGTTGGGATTTAAAAACATAGATTCTTGGACCATACCTCTGACCTATTGAGTCAGAATATTTAAGAATGAGTCTTGCCAGTGGGAACCATACTGCTCATCAACACCATGCAATAAGTAAGCATCTTAAACATAGTCCATCATAACACAGATTCCCCAGGTCCCCATCCTTTTCCCTTCTAGTTTCTCTTTCTTTATAAGGGAAGATCATGTGTATTCTGAGCATTTTACTTTTATTTTTTTTTCTTTTAAGATTTTGTTTATTTATTTGACAGACAGAGATCACAACTAGGCAGAGAGGCAGGTAGAGAGAGAGGGGAAGCAGGCTCCCTGCTGAGCAGATAGCCTGATGTGGGGCTCGATCCCAGGACCCTGGGACCATGACCCGAGCCGAAGGCAGAGGCTTTAATCCGCTGAGCCACCCAGGAGACCCCTTTACTTTTATTTCTTAAGCCAGTTCCCTAAGATAGAAGAGTACACCCCAATTCCAGCATTCAGCTTTTACATTTATTAGTAAGTCATGGTGTGGAACATTTTCAAAAAGTGCTTTTTAAAGACTTTGTAGAATGTACCTATGTGTTCTCCTTTATCTACATGGCTATTTTCCACCTCAAAGAACACTAATAAATTAGTAATTTCCATTTGTGAAGACAAACTTCATTACCTACAACCTCATAAAGCTAGTTTTAGGCATGGATTGAAGAGCTCTGCAGCCTGAAAGGGATGACTTTGAATCTTTGACAAAGCACCCTTTTGATTAAGACTGTGAATAAGGTCACTACTAACACTGAGAAGAAGGAGAATGGCACGTCTCATTCCTGGGAAGGTGGTGCATATTTTATCGTGGCACGTTGATTTCAGTGCAGTAATAATTAGGGTTCAGTAATTAGATGCACAAATCAGCACTCTATCATCATAAGTGGATTAAGAGGGTGACAAGTTCAACTCAAGTGATTTCCCACCAGGTATGGCGGCCATAACATTTTCTTAATTTTCTGCTTTCAAAGAACCAAGAAAGAAAATGAAGGTGAAAACTTGGCCTCCATGGGGAAATGGACCAAGTGCAGGAGAGCCTGCCTCCTTCACCTCCCACTCACACAAAGCCTTCAAGAGTCGAACAAGGAAGGCACAGCATTTATCAGCAGGAGATTTGGGAACTGCAGGCTGACTTGGATAATACCTGCCAAAGGAAGTTTTCTATTCCTTGACCTCAGTGTGCAATAGAACAACCCTGCATTAAAAGTGACCCTCCACTAGATTACAATCACAGCTTAAAATGGGTTCTTCAGTGTCCCTCACTGTTTTGAAATCTTAATAACAGCCCCATAAAAGAAACACTATTCTTCTGAGAGTTTTTTGTTTTCCATATAAACCTTCTTGGAGTAATTGAAATGCTTCTATTCTTTAGCTAGAAAAGATGATCTCTTTTTCTTCCAGAAAATCCTAAGCTTTTTTTCTTTTTTTCCCCCAGACCGGGCAACAGGAATTTCCACATACAAATGGAAATCATTCTGATGGACAGTGTTTGTGGAGAGTCTAACAAACAAATAGCTTGGCTATTTTTTTTTTCCTTTTCCTTTTTTCTTGAAGTTTGGTGTCACAGCTGTGTTAAAAGCTTCCTGTACTAGCAGGGATGGTGTTATCTACAGCCCGAAAACTTTAACTGCTGCTGAGTCTAAAATATTTAAAATACAGTTCAGAGCTCTTTTTCAAACAGGGAATGCAAAGAAGGAGGGAGGCAGGGAATGAAACACCGCCCTATAAAATGTTAAGAGCTGCAATGGTGATAAATCAGTGTTAAGCATGCAGGAGAAAAAGGCCACTGGGATGCATGTTTACTTAGAGAAGCATCTAGTGTATGTGCATTCCTCCTACCAGGCGGTAATGCTGAGATCCTTTTCGGAGGTAACCTCTAACACAAAGAGAACTGAAACATTTCAACTGCCTTCTACCTCGGGGTATATTTCGACAAACAGCTTAAGCTTCCTCCTTCCACAGCGTAAGCTGGATGCTGGTGTCTAAGGCGGAGATAAGATTCTAGAACACAAGTGCAAAGTGAAACTTTTATTAGACTCTTCTCTGGGTATGGGGCTCCAAATTACTTGAATCCATGGCCCATTATGCAGGAAAGGGTAGTGTAGAAATACTCAAAATCCTTTTACTCTGTGAAGAAACCTAATTTCTTAGAATTTAATTTAATTCTTAATTTATGTGAACTCATGGGAATTCACATAATTTCTCAGATCATATACTTCACCCTGTTCTTAAGCTACAAGGGTCTTTCAAGGGAAGGGTGGAAGTGCTAACCACTCAAAAAAATGATATCCTGGAGCCCCCAAAGCACAGGACAGCCTCCTCACGAAATGTGATTTACCCTCTATTTAAAGAGAGTGACTGAGATCACTGTGATGCAGAAAGCCGAGGTTTGCCAAACAAGACTCAAACTGAGTATGTTTGATAATATCATTCCATACAATTCCATACAGACCTTTTCACTCTTTTTTTTTTTTTTTGGTCATTTTATTTATTTATTTTTATATATATTCAATTAGCCAACATATAGTACATCATTAGATTTCAAATGTAGTGTTCAATAATTCATCAGTTGCATCTAATACCCTCTGCTCATCACATCACATGCCATCCTTTATGCCCATCATCCAATTACCCCATCCTCCCCGCAACCTTCCCTCCAGAAACTCTGAATTTTTCTCCTAGAGTTAAGAGTCTCTCATGGTTTTTCTCCTTCTCTGATCTCCTATTCAGTTTTCCTTCCCTTCCTCATGATCCTGGGCACTGTTTATTATATTCCACATATGAGTGAAAGCATATAATTGTCTTTCTCTGATTGACTTATTTTGCTCAGCATAAAGCCCATTTATATAGATGTAGATGGAACTGGAGGGTATTATAGAGCTTTTCACTTTAAAAACACTTTTACTAGCACGCCCAAAAAGGAAACAACAAGGCA